GAGCCACGTTCTCTTTTTTCTTTCCCCCCTTTTTTCTTTTTTTTTTTTTTTTTTTTCTTCTTTTTAAAGAATATTTTTTGTAAGAAAAAAAAGAGGAAAAAAAAAGTCCCTTTTTTCATGAAGTTTTTCAACTCCAGATGCACTTTATTTTCTCTAATGGGTTTTGCTCTAAACTTGTATTTATTTTGGGTAGTGATGGATGGATGATGGACAGTGAGGGCTGCCCAGGGAATACCTCAGCCCATGAACAGTAGAGGAGGAGGTTTCCTTCTCTCAGTTTTCTTTCTGCTTTTTTTCTCTTTTCTTTTCTTGGTCTTTTAATTTATTTTTAACAAACAGGGCTTTCTGGACCCACAAAGCTAAAATGGGAGAATTTGGGAAGGTCATCTGATCCTGTCAAAAACCCTTCCCTCCGTCCTTCCCCTCCACTTGTTCAGGGTCAGGATTGCAACGATGACTCTTGAGGTGATGTCCTACTCCCACACCAAGCCTGTGCCTCGTTACTTGAGCCTTCAAGAGCAGCAGAGAGCTGTTGGACAGGCCTGGGGAAGAGCATTGTCTGGATCCCTTTGCCAGGCCCTGGACCCAAAACTTGCTGCACAGGAGCTCTCACGGGTGTCACTTTGGGATCCAAACCAGAGCTGCTGGGTGGCACCACCTGCAGTGAACCTGCTTTCATGATTCAGGGAGGATGTTGGGACACACGGCATTCCCCTTCTTTCTGGAGGGACAGCACCTTGTGCTGGGATCTCATGGATCCATCAGGATCCATCCATCAGGAAGCAGATGGTGCCCTCAGCAGCCTGCCCTCCTCTCCCTCATCTCAGTAGTGAGCTCAAGGCAGTTTCAATGCCCAGTCCCCCATGTCACCTCACCAGTCACCGCCTCTGCTCTTCCTGGTGGAGAGAAAAGAGAGCCCTGAGGTCCCTGCAGAGCTCTTTGGCCATAGCAGTCAGCCCTTAGCCTGAGGACAAGGTAGCCCCTGGGGCCAGGCAGAGCCCATAGCTGCTGGTAGGCACAGCATCCTCTGTGGCAGCTCAGAGACACCTCCTGTGAGGAGACCCGAGGGCAGCAGAGCTGCAGCTGCTGTCTGCTCTGAGCAGATGGTTTTTATTAAAGTAAAATGAAATCACAAACTGCTGCCATTAACAAGTACATTTTAAGCATCACTGACTCTATCGTATTTTTAAAATTGAAATAGCTAAGTGTGCATTAATATACAGCACATCTGATCCTTGGCAGCAGGGGAGGGTCAGGCCCACTGGGAGATGCATTAACCAGTATTTACAAGGGTGCAAATAGAGTAATGTGGCCAGGAAGCAGCCTGATTCAAGTTCTTTGCAGATTCCATATCCTGGTGGCTTTGTGTTCTCTGTCTGGATCAATCCTCTCTTTTTAAGATGAAAATTCCAGGAAGTCCAACCCCACTGCCAGCCAATTTGTGGGGCCTGCACTGCTGAGAGACTGAGCTGCTTCTGCTTGGCTCAGTGCATCCCTGCTCTGATCCCTGCCAGCCTTACACCTTCACATTGTGTCATCCCTGTGAAACTGGATCAAATACTTGTTTCTAAAGTAGGTTCCCCAAGGTGTCCCCACGGTTCCCCAAGCTGCAGAGAGGAGTTATTGTTTCCAGGTGGACTTCAGAGCAATCCTGCTCTGTGAGGGTCCTGAGAACGTGAGTAGCCTGGTTTACTCCTTGCTATCCCGTGGCACAGCTGAATCACCCCTTTCTGCGAAGTGTTAAATGTTTCTTGGCACCTACCTCTAATCTGCACCAGCTCCTTCATAATGAGCGCTGTGCCCATGGAGAAATGCTTCTGGAAAGGATTTTTGACTCTCCTTAAGCTGTGCTGCTTTGATGGCAGCTGTGCACAGTTCAGCCCCATCCTTGATGTGTAAGCCATGCTGTTCCCTACGCCTGTGCTCCAGATTTAACTCTTGGTGGTGCCCTGAGCACTCCTAAGTGGCAGTGACTGGGGAGGGCAAGAGTGATAGCCCCGTGGGACCTGTGTGGCTGTGCAGGTGCTGCAGGGGACAGCGAGGTGTCCCTGCTGCTGTGGCCAAGGATGCCCTGGCTGGTGGCTTGGCTTGAACTTAGCAAACACTTCAAACCTCTTCTGGGTGATTAAAGCTGATGGATATTTCCAGGTCAGCAGACAAAAGAATAAGGTGCTGAGGGCACCCTTAGAGGAAGTTCCTCCTTCTGTAAGTATGAAGAAAGCTTTAAAGGCCTTTAAGGAAAGGCACAGATGTGCTTTGAATCCTGCAAAGTTGAAAGGCTGTGTAAGCCCCTGGTATCCTGTGTTCCTGCTCGCTATAAAGAGGCTACATAAACCCCCACCTCCAGTGTGATTCTGGACATGCCATGCTGGGAACATTCATTCAGGCACTGTGGGGAGGCAAAGACTAATTTTAAAGTAGAGGGAAACCTTTTATGTCTCTTGGGTCTGATCTGACAGTGTCTGATCTGCAGACAAAAATAACAAGAGTCCTTGGCACCTGACAGGATCCATCCTGTTTTCTGAAGCAGGTAGGGAAAAGGGCAAGCTATAATTTTCCCTCCTCCTCTGCAGGCAGCCCAGGCTCCCTCAGTGCAGAAGGACTGGCTGGCACTAGCAGGAGCAGGGCATCACCTTGGCTTTCATTGCCCAAAGTGGTACTGGGAATGCAATGGCCAGAACGATTCAGAAGGAAGAGGGAAGGCCAGGATAAGTGGAAATTATTCACAAAGGCATGCTGAGGAGATTGTGCCCCTCCAGGAAGGAAACTGAGGCAAGGAGAGGAGGAGGAACTTACACCAGTTGTAGCAGGTCAGCAGAGGAGCCAGTAGAGGATCCTAGGTGATGTTTTACACTGCAAGGACTCAGTGAATGTTGTAACCTGAGACCCTGATTAAACACAGCTCTGTGGTCAGGGTGGCTGGTGCTTTCTCCACATGTAGTGGAGTGACAGAGACTTAAAGGTGAGGCCCAGCCTTCTGCAAAACACTTCAAACACCCTGATGTCCCCAGACATCTGTGGAGACAGCAAATGAGTAGCAGATGTGTACATCCATGTCCACGTAGGCAGTGTCATCCTTGTGATTACAGAATACTCACAAAATGATAGAGGTAAGAAAAGGGATGGCTTTATCTGAGCAAGTGTGGAGGTGGAGCTGACGGCCCTGCTGGGAATTGGTGCTCCAAGGCAGATGCTCATAGCATTAAAAAGCAAGGCCTCGCCTCTCTGGTGCTGTTCCAGGAGCAGATGTTCACCTTAATTCATCCCACATCTTCCTGTCTTCTTTCTCCTCTGTTCCACAGGCCATCTCCTGGGCCCTGCTGTCTTGCTGAGCAAGGTTCAGCCTTCTCCATGGTAGGTGTCTGTGCCTAAGGTGCTCACAGAGTCTGGACTGAAAGTGGCTGGAGAAGTCTTGAGAATTTCCTCAGGAAGAGGAAGCCAGGGAGTTAAACAGCTTTGCACAAAGCTTTCAGTTTCGATGTTTCTAAACAGAACACATCAGATGAGCCTTACTTGGAAGAAAATGCTCTAATTTTCCATTTCAAAACGATCTTGGCGCAATTAAAAAGCATACAGGAATTTTCAGTTAGCACATGGCAATGGAATCTGCCTGTTAACTGCCCACTCCTTTATTTCTAGTAAATCCTGGTTTGAGGCTTAACCTCTGAAAAGTTAGGGTGGTGTTTCAGGAGGGGGTCATTCTGGAACTATGCAGTCTCCTACAAAACAGAGTGGGTCTTGTCCTGCCCAGAAGTTCTCTCCCTTCCAGTGCAGGGCAGTAGCAGAAGGACACTGCTCCTTGCTGCTGAAGTTCTGAGATTCATGCACAGAGCTGGTGTGACTGCTCTTTGCCTTCAGTAGAGCTACTGAGTGAGTCCAGGGCTCCCCATGGCTGTGGACACTCAGAGAAAGTGTCCCTGCTCACAACAGCCCTGCCCACATCAGCTTTGGAGGAGGGAGGAACAGAGTTCAGCATCAGAGGGAGGAAAAGATCCATGACACCTCGCTCTGTTTGTTTCTGTACGTTGTGGTGCCTCTTGAGGTGCTTGGGCAACTGGGGCATCAGATTTGGCCACTGAGCTCAGCACTTGCCAGGGCTGCAGATTCTGAAAGGAGTCAGTGGCTGAGCTGGACTGTGTTTCTCAGTTCCTGCTGGATCTAAAAATACGCCAGAGCAAAGGCAGCCTGAGAAATATCCCCAAGGAGAAAGACATGCTGGCACTTGGAGAGCTGCTGGGACCATTGATACAGCAGTCTGGAGGCAATGGTCTCCAGAGACCCTGGCTTTGCCTCCACTGGAGCAAACTGGGATGTTGCTTTATGTCACAGTGTCTTTTAGCTTGCCCTGCACTGAATTTCTGTAGCAGAGCAGCCTGCCCTTTTGGAAGGTTATAAAAGGCTTTTTGTTTAACCCCATGACACAGATCTATCCTCCTACGCTGTCCACCAAGGAAGCTGTGCAGACTGATTTGCAGCCAGGCAGGACAAATTCAGCATCTTGGTTACTTCTTCCAGAATCACTCCTCACCCCAGATAGCATATAAGCCATAGTTCATAGATATTTCTAAAGCTTCTGCTAATTACTCTGCTCTGGATTAGTACCCAGGGTCCCAGAGCTAAGACTTCTTCCAATTCCTGTCTCCATCCTGAGGTCAGAGGGTTTTGGCTTTTTCTTCTCTGCTCCTCCTTTGGGCAGTTGCTGAAGGGAGGTGGGGGGCAGTGACCAGGGCCAGAGGCAGAGCAACGAGCAGATGAGCAGAAAGGTTTGGAGGCAGAAGCAGAACAGATGGGAGGGAGGATAGTTCAAAACAGAAGGGGAGAAGAGGCGTGAGCAGCCCATG